ACCAGACATTGCAGACAAGTGCAAATCCTCATTTATTTATTTACTTGTATACAGCTGCATGAACATTTGATATTTCGGGGTTTGTGCATATCTTCATTTTCATTGTGACCTTAGAAAGTCTTAGGATAATTATATATAACAAAAACATATACCATACATTGCCACTTACCGTATGGGTACATTCTGTGTATCTATAATTACAGATTATAGTCCATCTGTTTATCTGTACGATTTGTTACCCCATTGCCCTGTTCTTCAATGGTCAGGACCCCCACAGGACCCCCACAGAGAATGTATTTGGGTGGTGGATCATTCTCAGCACTGCAGTGACACTGATGTGGTGATGGCAAGTTAATGTGTGATATCTTAGTGTCACTGCTGGACTCAGAACAGTCCACCAAGCAAAAATTTCCAGCAAACAGTATCATGTGGCCAGAAACTAACCACTAATAAAGGACTAGAGGTTGAATAACACAAACTGCGCAACAACAGGTGAGATACTGTCTCTGACTTTACATTTACAAGGTGAACCAATAAGGTATGTGGACAGTGTTATAAAAAACTCCAGCAACACTGCTGTGTGTGATCCTTTTTTAACAGTGTGCATTACTATGTCACTCCCATGTGACTACCTGCTCTTTGGTGGTCCTGAGGTGGTCCTGACAAAGTAACGTATTATGCAAAGAAACAGATCAACTACAATCTTAATTGTGTAACTACAAAATGAATAAATGTTCCTGTTTGGTAAATAAATCAGATTAAATGGACAATGACTGTAGGTTCACAGTAGGTGTATCTAATAAAGTAGTCACTGGGTGTGTAATATAGATTAATATTATATTAAAGTAGAAATCAAATTTGAAATATGATCATCAGTAATCATATTATAAATAATAATGGTTCTTTCATGAATAAATGAGAGTAGTGTAGAGATTACAGTGGACCCAGACATAATCTCTGTGTAACATGATTTTTCTAGAACGTAGGTATTATATGATATGATTCACTGCCTGCTTTCGTGATTATGTGATTTTCAGCATTGCCAATTCAGTCAGATGGAACAAATGTACTATTCCTTATAATGTTGTCACAGCATGCTAGCATAATATTTCTTTATACATAAATAAGTCTACTACTCGGATGTTATTCTTTCAGAATTATATGCCTTTACTCTTCAAATATAAGAAATAAAGATGACAATAACTTTTTTCGTTTATTATGATTACTATTACCATTATTAAGAGACATCAAGAAAACATGCAGAGTGTAACAATCTATTTACATCCTTTTTCCAGCTATCCAACTTTATATAATGTTTCAATGTTACAGTATACACAAATATAAACAAAAGGAAGTCAGTGACATCTTCAGATGCCAACACATACCATTCATACTGTAAGCCCAGCTGGCAAATCATGCTGAAAAAAAAAGCAAAACACTTCAAAGTAATAGTCTGCTGCTGTCCATGTGGTTGGTTTTCACAAGAGAGTAAAATCTGTACATACTGCATTGAATAGTCAGGTCCATCCAAATGCTGGATTAATGTTACAAATGACTTCAAGTTGTACTGATTCACAGCCACTATCAGAGATGCGATAAAACATCAGGAGAACAAAACCAGTATAAAGCCTCATTAGTCAGGCAATAATCAACTAGAATAACTCAGCATTTCCAAAAAAGCAGATACGAAACACAAGGAAGAATCTAATTATTATCACGTCATGACTGAGTTATCTTGAGTGTTATTTCTATGTGGTGTGATTGCTTTCGTTCAGACTTATAAACATACTCTTTGGCACTCATCAGCGTTCTACTGTGTAGACAATAATCACACCAATATTCCATGTGATGATTGATATTGTACTGGTTGTTTTTGCTTACATGTTCCATATGATGAAAGCAATCATAACTCAGACATTAAAAAATGGAGTCATAAAATGTTAATAAATTAACTAATGGCATCAAGCACCATTTGATCAAAATAAGGCCCTAAATGCCTCAAAAAATTTTGTTGTACTGAAATAAAGGCATTCAAATAATAAAAGCCCTCTTATTAAAATAAACAATATGTTTACCATGCGTTCTGTTAATAAACTCAGTTAATCCTGGGAAGAATGTAGCACGGTTTCAGCTTTTCCTCAATAGAAATTCAGAATCTAAGAGGCATAGATTTTCAGTGGGGGAAAAACTGGACATCATTTTTTTAAAAGTAAGTTCCCATATAGGTCACATGAACAGGATGCTGTTATATAAAGGCACATTTCATGCAGGAAAATATAACTTTACATTGGAGGAAATTAATGGAATCCCCAATGCACAGTATCCTGTGACTACCATCCACTTCATTAAGCACACCTCCTTGTTTCTACACTCATTGTCCATTTTATCAGCTCCACTTACCACATAGGTGCATTTCGTAGTTTTGCCCTGTTCTTCAATGGTCAGGACCCCCACATGACCACCACAAAGCTGTTATTATATAGGTGGTGTGTCGTTCACAGCACTGCAGTGACACTGATGTAGTGGTGGCGTGTTGCTGGAGTTTTTAAACACATCAGTGCCACCGGTGGACTGACAATAGTCCACCAACCAAAAATATCCACTCAACAGTGTCCTGTGGGCAGCGTCCTGTGACCACTGATGAAGGACTAGAACATGACTACACAAACTGTGCAGCAGCAGATATGCTACGGGTGAACACAGTTTTAGAAACTTCAGCTGCACTGGTGAGTCTGGTCCACCCGTACCAGTGCAACACACACTAACACACCACCACCTCATCAGTGTCACTGCACTGCAGGAAGAATGATCCACCACTAAAATAATACCTGCTCTGTGGGAGTCCTGGCCTTTGATGAACAGGTTGAAAGGGGGCTAACAAAGTATGCAGAGAAACAGATGGACTACAGTCTAATTGTTGAACTACAAAGTGAACCTATATAGTAAGTGTAGCTGATAAAATGGACAATAAGTGTAGATATAAGGTAGCATACTTAATGAAGTGGCTGGTCAGCAAATAGCTACTCATGACGTAGTGAACAACTGGCATTATGACTGATGGATAAGGAATGCATATGTTTGTAAAATGAGAGGGTGAGGTGGAGGGGCTCTGTTTGTACCAAAATATCACCATATCAAAACTTTAAGATCTTAAATATGAATAGATGACTTACGTTCTTAACTTAGTATTAGCTTTTATCCACCTCCTTCTTATCCACTTAAACTTCCGCATGGAATGCTCCTTAAGTCAGGCTTGAACTTCACAAAATGTAATAAATAATTTTAAATGTTATTTACATAAAATCACACACAAAGGGCATTAGTTCCAAATTTTTCACCATCTCACTTGCCCAATTAAAAGTATTACGTTTACAATTACGTGTTATATTCATACATATAAATGCCCTGTAGAGTCCTGTATAGTCAGGGAAGAAAAAGTAACATGCATCAAATATAAATACAAAATCAAGCACTTGTAATAGTTTTCTCCAGCTAGAAGGCATTGAAAAGGAAGAGTAGGGGGCCTTGCATGCTGTATGCATGTTTTTACCCCATCCTATACATGTCAGCCTATTTATATTCTGCGAAATCAGAGTCACTATGAGATTAGCGTTACTAATCAATTCATGTATAGGGTCAATGCTCTCCTTTAAGGATGAATCATGTATATTTTAAACACAATTATATCTTTGGTCCATCCTCTCTGACTCTTCATATTTCATATAATCAATAAAACCATTTTTTCTGGACCTGTGGCAGGTTTAACCTAATTTTGGACCTCTTTGACCTCTAAATAGGCTTCATTTTTACCTGAAAAAAAAAGTTCCAGACAAAAAAATAAAGTGCTTCTTTGTTCACTTCTGAAAAACAAAAAAAAAAGCCAAAACAAAACAAAACAAAAAAAAAAACAGGGCCTTCTGTCAAGACCAAATGAAGTTTCGAATGGACTCTCCAAATATGCAAAATGTCTTATATTTGTCCGATATCACATTTAATTTAACTGTGGAATTGTGTTTGGAAGGTAAACAAGCTCACCTATCCTCATAGTCCACTGCAATGTCATTAACTGTCCAGCCAATGAGTCCCCTGGGTCTGAACAGTGCAGCTGTGATACAGTGGACCGTCAACTCATAGATCCATTTTGTCCATCAGTGGTCTCTTTCTCTGCAACTAGACATGCCCTTGGCACATTGCCTGCTTGTAAAATAGACTGCAAAATGAATAATTTAATGCCAAATCATATAAAATCGTTTACACAGGCCTGCAATGAGAGTCGATCCCCATAACGTGTTAGGGGAGGGAGCCAGGGCCAGAGGATTTACGGAGGCAATAAAGAAAGAGCAATAGCTTCGGTATGCCCCCAGCAGCACTGCCCAGCAATTTAACCAGCACAATAACTCAGAGAGCAAAGCCCCATGGTGGCAGAACCACAGGAGGGAACAGGGAAATGCCTGGACAAGAGCATAACAACATTTTACGTGGCTGTGGAACATGACAATTCTTTCAAATACTGATGCGCAAAGCCAGAGCTAAAGAAATAATTAGAGACGATGAAAGATAAAATGATACCCTGACGTTGTTTCAGTTGGAACGGACTTGACTTTTAGGCCTCTTTCTTTTGCATGTTATTGCATCATATTAGGACATGAAAGTTTTAGTAGGATCTGGGCAAGAATTAGAAATAGGAATATGATCCAGCAACAACCTAATGATGAATTAATGATAAGGACCTGCACACACTCAGGCACATCAATATGCAGAGACAAATATATTCGCACACACTCATACACTCATTCCTCATGCATACTTTCTCCTTATTCTCAGCTTACATGGTTCTTACAGCTCTTTTCGTGCCTTTTAGGCCTGTACTCTGCTCGCACATGTACATACAAACAGGAGAACGTCTCACATATAGATGCTAACATTGCTTCATGCTCAGTCAAACATAAAATTCACCCTCAATATTAACCCAGAGTAGAACTCCCACAAAACGCTCTGTCTCTGGTGTGTTACAAGTACAGGTAGTAAGTCCAGTACAGCAGGTTGACTATGACGAAGGACAGTGGAAACGTTACACGGGAGTAGTTGTCTATGTAATGTGGATTCTCCACGTGACAGCAGTTCACAGAGCGTAGTATCTGTCTTATGAGGGATAAGTTTTTAAGACAGCGGTTCAGGGGCTCCGTCAGGGCCTCTGGGGGCTTAGCCTCTGGGGAAGTAGGGCTGGGGGGTACGACTCCAGGCTCTCCTGTAGGGGTCGGTGCAGGAGCCGGGGTTGGAGAATCCTTACATCGCTTAGATCGTCTGGAGTCACTGGCAATGGTTGTGACGATGCCGTTCATATCATCATCACAGTCATGCATGTGGTGTCCTCCATACTGAGGACCAAGACAGATAAGAACAGAACAGTGACTAAAACATTTGTAATTTGAGGATGAAAACTGTAAATTACAGTACTGGTGGGATGTGATTTGCTGCTGCTGATGATGATCTTACCATTAGTCAGTCTTACCATAAGTGCATTGTTGCAATCTGGGTGGTGGAGTGTGCAGAAGTGAGCAACAGCGTACTCTATCAATGCCCCAAAGATGAAACTGAAACAAATTCCCAGATACACGTCTATAGCCTTGATGAAGCAGTTAGCATTGGGCAGAGACGTCCTGGCTCCCATCATCAGAGTGGTCATCGTTAAGACTGTGGTTACTCCTTTAACATGGAACATTAAACAGACAGTTAGCACATACTTAATGGTCCTAACCATTACTGATAAAAGTGCTTTGCCCATACAACAAAGGCAGTACAGCTGAAAATGAGTTGCTTGAGAAGTTTCAGGCAGCGGGATTTCCTAAAATCCCTAAATAGCTTCATTTGCACTATATGGAAGTTAATTAACAGGCTAATTAATATGAAACTAAACCTGCAACAGGGAAAAAAATGAATAGGTTTAGCAATATTTAGAGCCATCTTTATACCCTAGAAAAACATACTGATAGATTTTTGTTGCTAAGCTATGAAGCACTTACTACTGCATCATTTCATTGCCTTGGAATAAACTGTATTGCAGTGAATACGAGCATCAAGAACACTAGATTGGGACTGGTTTTATTTGGTCTAATACTGCTCAGTGCTGTGTTTTATGAAGTAATGATATGTGGACCAGTCATGTGTGTATTTTGGAGAGAAAAGACATTCACTACAAACATTACAGCTGCATTCCAAAGGGTAGGCCGCAGTCTAGTCCATCGAAAACTGTTCCAGTCAGACGGATTTTTCAAAAGCAGCCTAGAAATGCAGCCTACATTCTGAATTTTCTAGGATGGTATCGGAGTAGCCATCATGGCCTTTTGTCGCCCATAATCCTTTGCGCATGCATCTGACCACATGAAAGTTCAAGAGAAATGCTGATAGCTGAAACCAACTATTACACACTGTTTAATCTCTTAACGTTCCAGGCTCATTACATACAAAGGCTTACTATTCAGTAGCTACAGGGACTTTAATGCAAACTAATAGAGCTATGCTTAGGTTATAGAAGTCTGTAATAATTCTTTAGGCCTGCCGGAGGGCCTATGGCTTGTTTAGGGGTTAAAAATGCCAGTGAAATGAACAACCCCATTTCCAAAAAAGTTGGGATGCTGTGCAAAATGTAAATAAAAACAAAATGCAATGATGTGCAAATCATTTAAAACCTATATTTCATTGAAAATAATACAAAGACAACATATCAAATGTTGAAACTGAGAAATTTTATTGTTTTTTGAAAATATGCCCATTTTGAATTTGATGCCAACAACACATTCCAAAAAAGTTGGGACGGGGGCAACAAAAGACTGGTTAAGTTGTGTAATGTTAAAAAAACACCTGGAAAAACATCCCAGAGTGGCAGAGTCTTTCTGAAGTAAAGATAAGGTAAGGTTCACCACTCTGTGAAAGACTGCATCAGCAAATAGTGCAACAATCGGCTCAGGAACACTTCTGAAAACCACTGTCTATGAGAACAGTTCGTCACTGCATCCACAAATGCAAGTTAAAACTCTGAAACACAAAGAAGAAACCATATATGAACAGGATCCAGAAACGCTGCCACCTTCTCTGGGCCTGAGGTCATTTAAAATGGACTGAGGGGAAGTGGAAAAGTGTCCTGTGGTCTGACAAATAAAAATTTTAAATTCTTTTTGGAAATCATGGACACTGTGTCCTCCAGGCTAAAGACCACTCAGCTTGTTGTCAGTATTCATAATGGTATAGGGGTGCATGGTGGCATGGGTGACACGCACATCTGTGAAGGCACCATTAATGCTGTACGATATATACAGATGATGTCTTTTCAGGAAAGGTCTTGCTTATTTCAGCAAGACAATGTCAAACCACATTCTGCATGGTTTACAGCAGCATTGCACCGTATTAAAAGTGTCCGGGTGCTAAACTGACCTGCCTGCAGTCCAGACCTGTCACTACTGATAACATTTGGCGCATTATGAAAGGAGACTCTGAACTGTTGAGCAGCTGAAATACTATATCAAACAACAATGGGAAAACATTTCATCTTCAGAAGAGTGTTGTTAAAAGAAGAGGTGATGAAGCACAGTGGCAAACTTGCCCTGTCCCAACTTTTTTGAAACATTTTGTTGGCATCAAATTCAAAACGGGCATATATTTTTCAAAAAACAATAAAATTTCTCAAATTTGATATGTTGTCTTTGTAGTATTTTCCTTCAAAAATATCACTTACTTCATTTGCATATCATTGAATTTTATTTTTATTTACATTCTGCAAAGTGTCTCAACCTTTTTGGAAATGGGGTTGTATAACAACATATACAGTACACTATTTTCTTAGTTGTGTATCTGTTTAAGAGGGTGCAAATTAAATGCAGTATCTGAAATGCACCTCTTTTCTGTGAGTTTAACAGTTTTCAGCTTTTAAAATGCTATTTATTTGCTTTGCCCATCACATATTGCACTATTCACATCATCATTTTCCTTACCATCTTTTACATCAACAGTATTTTCTCCATTAACTTTTGTTTGCCTTTCTGATCATGTGACAACGCTACCTTGGTAGAGCATTCTGTTTTGCATTATGAAATACAACCAAAGAGTCTTCATAGGAGAGTCCTACCAAGGACTGACCTTTTCTGGGCTGCAGCCTAGCTGTTGGAACGCAGCTCATGATTCAGGTTGCAGCACCACACTTAATGTACATTTGTTCCCTGGAAGTTGCATACCTGCATTTACGATCAACTGTCAATAGATATTCAATGCAGACTTGATACCGGCTTGCCTGTGAACCCACTCTACTGTGGAGCTTATTATGACTGTAAGCACAATTAGCTTTACGGCACTAAGAAATGTGGAATTGGACACAGTTGACCAAGCATGTGATTTGTGGAGATAATGTACCTATGCATATGCGGGCTGGCACTGATGACTGACTGATCCAGAAGGACACCCAGGACAGGACGACTAGCAGACTGGAGGGCACATAGGTTTCCAGGATGAAGTACAGAATGCTTCGCTTCAGCTCGAAGTGGAAGACGAGTTTCGGATAGTTACCTCAAAAGACAGACAACGTAGTGTTACTATACATTGCACTTGATCAAACATTTCAAATACACTGTCCAAAAGTATATAGACACCCCTTCTTATTAGTGAATTCAGCTACTTTAAGGTGCACGAATTGCTATCACAGGTCTTCATAATCTCCAGTGCCAATACAATGGGACACTCTGGAAAGTCACACATAAGCCTAATGTCACCATGCCCAATGTCAAATGTCAAGTAAAGGGTTATAAAGCCATCCAAAATTGGGCTGTGGAGCAGTGGAACACATTGTCTGGAGTGATGGAGCTCCATTCAATGCCTTTGGGATGAGCTGGTGTTTGTGATTGAGAATTATTCATTCCAACATCAGTACCTGAGCTCACTAATGCTGTTTTATCTGAATGCAACAAACCTTCACGATGCTGCTCCAAAATCTTGAGTTAAGCCTTCCTAGAAGAGGAGCTCTCTATTCTCCTTTGATTTTAGAAGAGACACTGGATAAGCAAGTGTCTACAAACTTTTGGACATATAAGTTCTGTGGTTTATCTAAAGCACTTTTAAGCATTCTTGAAGGCATTAAAACATTTTTGTATCTGAAGAGCCATTGCGACCAAAGAAACCCACAAATATAAGTATTTTCTCCGTTACAAAAAATACGATAACCATTGTATTATCTTAGTTTAATGTCGTTTCAATTTATTATGGTCATTTTCTTCATAACAAGCATAAAAAATCCCTAATAGAATGCTAATGTCTCAGTAGCTAGCTAGATAACTTTCCCGTTCCACCTTCAATAGTCCAGCAGTTCTGACGCCTGAAGCACCAGAATGTAACTGCTGCACCATTTAAGTTGGAACGGAAAATTTGAACAAGAAGCTGGTGAATCTCTGAATTCAGCTTCATATCACCAAAGAATTAGGGGTGGGAGATAATAAATAATTGTCTTATCCCCCTCTTTGAAAGCATTTGATGCGCTAAATTTAACTAAAGCCCAGCAGCAAGGTTGCTGAACTTTCCCCTCTGCTAGTACCGCTAGTAGCCTGTTAATGAAGCAATTTTTTTTTTGTTTTTTTTTTATTTGAGGGTTGTCCCATTTCATAGGGCAAAATTTCAACCACTACCCCTTGTAACTCGAAAACAAGGGGTAGGGGTAAAAAGAAGAAATGGGATTGGGCCTAAGTCTCTACCCTCTTTGCAGCCTTGAAGGCATTTCCCCAAGCAGAAGTGTCACCAAGTTGCGAAGACAAGATATGACATCAGAGTTTGCTCTTCTGGTCTATGACTTAGAGGAACTTTTTATGCCAGGATGAAGCATTCCTTAGTGACAAACTACAGCTCTATGAAACTAGAGCTTTTTTGGAGAATGTGGATCAGTGGTCACCAGCCCTCCTCCGGGAGATCTACTTTCCTGCAGAGTTTAGTTCCAACCTGCATCTAACACTCTGTCCCTCCACTCACCTACACTAATGCTGTTGATCCAACCAATCAAGGACTTCTGAAGAAGTTAATTCGCTGGAGCAGGTGTGGCAGATTGTGGCTGGAACTGCAGTCCACAGGAAGGTAGTTATCCATGACCAGAGATGGTGACCACTGATGTGGCTGATATGACCTCTAACCGTATCTAAGAAATTTCAATAGTTTTACAGGGTAGGAGTAGAACTATAGAGGATTCAACAAATTCACACTTGCTCCTGAGCATTGTCCTAAAAAAGACAGAAATGTGAAGAGAAGACTGTGTGCAGGCTGTTGTATTCCTGTATTATAATTGTTTTATGAATCTTTTTGTGAATCTTCTTGAAAAATTGTAGATGTGTTGTCTCTCAGTACCTGTTTCATACACTGCCTCTGAGACAGACGTGTAATGATCTTCTACAGTGTACTGGGCCAGGCGCAGAGTATCCAATCCACTGACTGATTCATTTCCTCTCGTCCAGTAAAACATCACATCATTGATGTTATATCCCCCTTAGACAGAAAGCGAGAGGGAGATTAGAAGGAGTGCCACTGAAAAATGTCACTCTCTCATCAGAGTGACGCGCATTTCTCAATCAGAGAGGTCGACAAGAGGGAAGAAGATGGATTCTGTGATTCAGTGACTGAGTGTTTTTTTGTTTGTTTGTTTGTTTGTTTTTTGACAGATATTTATGGAGCTGTTTGGTGCAGAATTATAATGAATCCATATATGTTGGATCAATACTGTTGCCTTAAACCTTCAGCATTTTCATAACTGAAAATTCAAAGTGAACCAGTGTTTAATTCAACTGCCGTGTTCCAAGTCAAAATTGACTCTTTTTTAAAATTTTCAATGTGTCTAAAATACCATTACACTTCATAATTCTTTCATGAAACTTAACAACTTCCTCATCCATGATGATATGAACATGTAAAAATGAAGATGATCAATATGATGCTTTCTATAAAGTCTCTACACCACCTGGGTACAAATACTGTTCAGGGTCAAATTTCACCCTGTAGCTCAGAATTAGGTAGACTGGGGAAACAGTGCAGATACAGTTTATTACTTTTTGTGCGGTTTTACTTACACACACACACACACACACACACACACACACACACACACACACACACACACAATTTAAATCAACTCAGAGCATGAGGAAATATCCTCTGATGAGGAAACTGATGTGCAACATTCAAGAGAAGCATTCCTGTCAAAAAATGGCCAAATAGCCTGGTCATCCCCGATGAAATCAGAGTAGAATGTCACCTTAAAATATAATCAGACTAACCCCAGGGCTCACAAAAGTTGCAATGACAAATGTCAAAGTTTTCTTCAGGAAAAATGAAAAAAACTTTGGTTTTTGGTTTCATTTCTAGGATCAATTTTGACCCGTAACATAAAAGTTGTGAATTTATTCGTAATGTGATGCCACCAACACAAATAGATGTTTGTGACATGCATACCAGAAAGAAATAATCAAATTGAATATATGGCCCATACATTCAAAATAACAATTTAAATTCACAAAATGCTCTAAAATGTAATTTTTCAATGAAAACAAATGTCTTATTTTTAGGTAAGTAAGGTAATTATGAACAGTAAAATTCAATAAAGAAGTAGTAGTAAAGTTAGTAGTTAGCAAGTAGGGTCCAATGAAAGTGTAGAGTAAAATAAGTTCTAAGACTGTTTTGAGGAGATTTAGTCAAACTGACCCACAAACATCAACGATGTGACTGATTTGTGATCATAAAAGGGGAGTTAAACAGCATTATTGCATTAAACTGAGTCGAAGCACACCATAGAAAGCAGTCTCAGTCTACTTCCTCAAGAGGGAGCTGTGTAATAAGGAGTGATAATCATACTCATCACACATCTTTATTACAGGAACAGGAACAGGACACGTGATGCTCATTTAAATGTACTTTCCCTTATACAAATCCCCTGAGAGCAAGGGGACTATGATAGAGAAAAGGCTGCATTATTAATATGAATTAATATTAATAATATTAATGATTATATATAGTAATATTTTGCACTCTATATATAAGGGCCAACTGCTCATCCATACAATTTCTTAGTCTACATCTACATGCTATTAGAATACTTAATGCTCAAAGAATATAGTGGATCAGCAGCATCTAAGGGGATAACTTATAGTGAAGATGACACTGTTTTTATAAAAAAAAATTTCATGTTACATGGAGTAGAACGTGGTTGTTGCCTCTATACAATGTGTCTTTCCATGAACAACAACTAACACGCTATGAACTGATTGTGAAGTCTGACTTAAGCGCAGTAATTCAAGATAAATTCTCATACATCTGCTGAAATATAACCTCCTTTAAACATCTTTCATCTTTTGTGGTCTCATTAGGCAACAATACGGCGCTGCAGCTGTGACTCTTTTATCACTCCAGTCCCTCTTTTTCTGTCAGCGACAAATAAATATTTCAGCATAATTCAAATTCAAAAGCTTTTAACCCAGGTCTGCATCAGCTTTATAGTTTAAAGCTCAGTACAATCTCTGTATGCTGTTGTATGCAACATATGTAGTACAATTTAGGGATGTACTAATGAAAAATGTGGTCGGCTGCACTAAACTTGCCACTATTTTACATCTATTGTAATGAAATATCAAATTTAATAAGCTCACAGCTTTGCTATAATGATTTTAGGGCTGTTTTCTGAACATTGTGTAGTTCTGGAGTAAAAAGGCTCTGGAATAGTGAATTTAAATTGACAATATAACTGAGCCTTGTTCTATAATTTGCCTAATTCTTTATTTTGAATAATTATGTCATCAGTTTATCTTCTCTTTAAAGGGTATTTTGTGTCTAACCACATGTGTTTGCTTCTTTAGAACAATGGATAATTAATCAATCATCATGTTGCCGCTAAATGTCAGACAAACCCTAGTGTTAATTTAGTAGCACTGCCATTTTCAAGTATATTATCAATAGCCTATATTATGAAGCCTCCCTGTTTATATGTAAAATTGTGTATTTTAAGTATGCTATGTTAATATATGCCAAAGTCTATTAATCTTGCTCTTGCTGACCTATAGGACTGCACAGTTTTACCTATTCCCCTGTCCAACACATCCGATCCAGCTAATGAAGGGTTTAATAATTGAGTTGATGAGTCAAAGCATACAAAGCATACAACCATGCAGTGCTATGGGTCATCAGGAGCAGGATTAAGAAACACTGTTATAAACCATTCTGTATAGTTTTGGTGTTCTATTTAAGTGACATCGGTTCCTGCCTCTGTATGTGGATTTAGTGATGTTTAACTGATTAAACTCTGTGGTCAGAAAAGTATGTGTTTTCTCATCTTAGTTCAGTCAAAAAGTTCTCCTTTTGACAAAAAAAAAACTTGCATTATTTAGTACTGCGGCCTGAGAATCTCCCTTAAACCTCCTCAATACAGAAGAAACATAAGTTTCTGCTCCATAGGAAATGCTGCTTTCACTTTGAAAAACTTCCTTTCACTTGCTGAACCTAAGGTTGGTAAAACACACATGCCATTCGAAAGTGTGGAATCACCATTCAAAAGGTTGAAATAATCGTTTTCAATAACAACAAATTTGTTGCAGATACATGTATAAAACAATTCTATTATGATGCTATTACTCTAGAACCTCATAACTTGGGACAGTAGTTGCAAATAACAACAGATAGAAGTGACATACATTCAGACCTGATCCAATCCGCTCGTTAACAGCCCATTTTTAAATTAAAGTGGCTGTGTTTAGGCAGGAAAATCACTAAAATGTGCAGGACAGTGGGCCTCCAGGACCAGGGTTGAGAACCATTGATCTAGATGATGTCTTTGTCAGGGACATCCTTGTTTGTTTCAGCAAGACAATGCCAAACCACATTCTGCATGTGTTACAACAATGTGGCTTCATAGTAAAAGAGCGCAGATGCTAGACTGGCCTGCCTGCAGTCTAGACCTGTCTCCTATTAAAGATGTGTGGCACATTATGAAGTACAATTTGTGACAACAGAGACTCTGACTGTTGAGTAGCTGAAGTGTAATATGAAGTAAGATGGGAAAAATTACAAATACACAAATACAGCTATTATGTCCTCAGTTCCCAAATGATTGCTAAATTTTGTTAAAAGGAAATGTAACACAATGGTAAACATGCCCCTGTCTCAAACATTTGGACCATGTTCCAGACATCATGTGCATATATACAAAAAAACAATAAAGTTAATTAGTTGAAACATTAAATATCATGTTGAATACAGGTCATAAGAGATTTGTCAATGAACGCTTTCTATTTTTATTTACATTTTACTTGCAATCCCAATTTTTTTTCAGTTGGGTTTGTAGTGGGAAGCTGTGAAAATTAAGAAATTTTAGATGTGACCAGAATGATGATCATAGCTGTAGATGAGACAAATAGAATAGAATGAGACAAATGACTGAGGCAGCTGTGAAACACTGAGAATGAAGTATTTGAAAAGGGATCAAATCTCAAGACAGATAACAATAAATTTCTATAAATAGATAATTACAGTATATTACTTATCATTTACTAACCTTGTTGTTCCCTAAAAAAGTATTAAATGCATTGTCTTAAATTACCTTCTGGTATCTAGCTTATAGTATTTCAATAAACATAAATAAAATCAAATAAATAAAAGTTATTTTTGTATAAAATAACGACAATTCATATGACATGTGATTCCAAACTTTTGAATGGTACTGCAGTTGTAACAGTCCTGCGAGTTTGAGTGTATGTGAGAGAGAAAGCAAACGAGCGTTAGAGAGAGTGGGACTGAGCTCTCTCTCTCTCTCTCTCTCTCTCTGTCTATCTCTGTCTGTCTGCCTGCCTCTCGTTCTCATTCATTCTCTTTCACTGCAGCTTTAGCCTTACATAACGATATGCAGAAACCAGGGCAGAAGGCCAGATCCCAAAATCACAGGCATATGCAACAGAGAGAGAGAGAGAGAGGTGAGAGAGAGATAGAGAGAGGCAAGAAAGAGAGAGAGAGAGAGAGATAGAGAGAGAGGATGAGAGAGAGAGAGGAATAGCAAAATGGCTTGAGAGCTGGGAGGATTTGGGGTCTGAAGACAGCAAATCTGGTTTCCACGGGTAACAAAGATGACCCAAATAAACTGGTGCATGCAAACACAGCACGCCACACACTCCTGTTCTACAACTTCAACTACTGCAAGTGCTCTCTGTATGGCATTCTTCCTATCTCTCCCACACACTGAGCCTCTTCTCACACAGCCTAGAGCTTCACCATATTCCGAGTACGCAGGAATATCGCCATTTCTTGATGTGTGCGAATGTGGGTGGCTGTGTTGGAGTGGGAAGTGCGTGTTTGTGTGTGTGTTTGGTGTTTGGTGGACATGTTTATATGTGTATGAGTAACATTAAAAAGTCACGTTTGTGTGTGGTATGCAAGTCTCGGTGTCTTTTGATGTGCAACCACAACATGTACTTATGAAATATGAAACAGATTACGCAGCCGTACGTTGCCGATGCGACAAGCAAGATCCGAGGAATAAAAAAAGGAGAGCCTATATCTTGTTGCCAGAGCAACGCTCTCGTTAATGCCTCCAAAAAAAGAGAGAGGGAGAGTGTGGGGGGGGTGGGTAACACAGTGTTTCTCTTACAGCTTTCTAGTTGGAGGGTGCATGTCTGCTTATCCATAGGGTACTTAGTCAAATCCATGTTGCAGGCCACAGTGGTGGTGATCCTGAAAAAAAAAAAAAAACAGACAGACAGATGAACATTTATTACATTTTAATGGGTAATAAATGTTGAAATATTTAGGAACTGACTGAAGTAAGATGTCTTGGCTTAAGTGCTTAAGGGTATCATTGAAGAAAAAATCTTTCAGAAAAAAGGCCAACATTTGAGGCTGAGTCAAAATGTAGACTAGCATTACTGTATCACCATATTGCTTTGGGGAGGTACCATCTTCATGCTTTCTTGCTCACCAGGCCTCAATTATCTGTCAGTATACAGTACCAAGGCAATGCTTTTCTGTTTTAATCGCTAGACAGCTGATAATAAATGCTACTTGTGGATACATTAAACTTTCCATCTAAAATCACCATGTTCAAGTAGGCCAAAGTAAAACTACTGATGAACTACTCCGCTGTCTTAAAGGGCCAATATCATGGAATAACGAATTTCCCTCACTTTTTTAAAATAAAGGCGTTTGAAGTAATATATAAACATGGTTAAAGTTTCTTGGAGAAATGAATTTAATATCTCTGTGTAGGTCATACCAATACCATTATTATTGACACCAAAGGGAACTAGTGCCACCACCCCTGTAATTTTTTAAGAGTGCTATTGTAGTAGGGATTCATTGCAATGGTTACCACATTAGTGCTTGAAGTGTCTAGTAAAATTCTGATGGTAGCTTATTTTTAACAGGGCAGCCACTGAGAGTTTACGCTGCTCACTTGATGAACATCAGTCTGCATCACAGATGTACACTTGACCTTGGCACTGAAGCACAATTACAGCCTATTGCACCATGTTTCTCTAAAATCCTGGCACCACCAGGTTTTTGATGGGACATCAGAGATCTCATCTGTCCTTGAACTTTTCACAGAATGCATTCAAAAACAGATTTCAAAAATCCTGTTAGGGACATTTTACAAACACACAATAAGCTTAGTCTGGGACTAAATTGTACTGTCAGAGTTGATTGTCTGTTAGAAAAGCTTTTGAGTCAAGGACAATAGTTAAGGAATCCCTGTCCTGGTTCAACATTATCTAGGCTCCAGGTCCATCCTGTCTGCATTCAGTCTTTTCCAGGTTCAGGGGTGGGGAACTTACAACTAAACCTGGTAATTAACTGCTGAGGTGTGTTTCAGGTGTGTTTGAACTGGAAAATCATCAAACTGTACAGAAATCTAGCCCTCCAGGATCAGAGATCCCCAGCTCTGCCCTACCCCAAAGTATTTCCCATAATGTGTGTCTTGTTATTGTTTTGTATATATTAAGCCTCTGTGTGGCTTTTCTTGTGCAGTGCTTTTAGTCTTTTTCTGTTTTTTTCCCTTGTGTTTGTCTATGGATAATCTAGCCATTACTGTTTTTGCTTGCACTTTAACTTCTGATATGAACCAATGTAACTATGCAGAATGTCCTATTAAATAAACTTTGTGCATGTGTCTGCCTACTCTGTACAGCAAGGCTTAATACAGGACTACCCAACTCTAACTAGGGTTGGAACTAAGCTCTCCAGGAGTAGGGCTAGGGCACCCTGGTTTACTAAGTATACTCAGACCTGATACACATGGCCTTTGAAACACAATCTACAGAACCATGAAAAGCCCAAATCACAGCCTGCACTCAAGAGCTCTGTAGAGAGTTTCACTTAATATCACCATTCTGGAGTACTGGGTAGACGTAGGCAGTCTCACCGGAGAGCATAAAGCACAGTCCCATTGGGGAAGATTCGGATCAGCCGGTTCTCCACGGTGATATCATGCAGGAAGGACTTCTTGGAGTCCACGATGAAGGTGTCTGGAACCCACAGAAGTTCCACCAGACGGCCATCAAGACTTAAGCTCTTATTCCCTTCAAACACAAGCCTCTCATCTGTCCACCTCTGTCTCAGGAAGATGGTGGCTGTGTAATCCTGCACAGAATAAAGTCAGTATCATTGTAAGTAATCACACAATGGACTAAAGGGGCCACGCCTAACTGTGAAACAGAAATATTATAATAAATCTGAAATATTAATTACTGAAAAAACTGAAACAAACATGCTTTTCCTACAAAAATTGGATCTGCTGTCATTGTAGATCTGTTCTGCATGTCATTTTTCATCTATGACTTCCCAGAATAAAAAGATACAGTGGATTATACAGTTAATCGTTCCATAAATGGGTTGAATGTTGGGGAGCAGACCATGTAAAGGCTGGCCTGACCGGCCTTTGTTGAAACAGAGTATGGGCGCAGATGATAATACGCAGGCCCAGTATGGAGAATGATCCTTTCATGGAATTCAAAGAATATACTCACCATGTTGATCTCTGATATAGTGTCAATGCTAGCAATGTCCAAACTCATGCCCACGGTGACTGGACCATCTGAGAAACAGAAAAACAGCAAAACATCACATTAGTGCAGTTTTTTCCATTAATACATATTCATGACTAACAATCATCATTATTCTCAACGATGAAACCAATGAACACAAAAACACAGAAGCACACAAAGCCAGGAACACTAATGCTAAGTTTTCCTAGAATGCTTACACAGTTATTGCATACTGGCACAAGATGGGTATCCTGTCTGAAGCTCAGGTGTCTCTTGCTTGTGTCATTGGTGCAAAACTCAAAACACATTTCTTTTCACACTCATTACAAACTGCTTCAACACTTTTTGCAAAATAATTCACCCAATTCTCAGTCTCAAAGTACAAAGTTCAAAGAACAACTTTCACCTGTTTTTGGGAAATAATTTTATATATTTCTTTTCAGATTAGTGACAGAAATCTGACCACAATGACACAAACACAGCAGAGCTTTTCTCTACACTTACGTATAAGTGCTAAGAAATAAGAGTCCCAAATGCCCCAAAGAAAACATAAAGTAAATAAGCAAAGTCAGGAATGCCTAGGAAACAAAAATACATACATACATGTTTCCTTTATGTTGAAAAAACATACAGTAATGTTTCGTATTAATTTATTGACTGCCAGCCAATGAGCTTCCAAATGGGAAAAGACAAATGGACACAAACAGCAAACACAGAGGCTTGCATTAGTAACTGCTGTAATATAGAGAAACTGAAGAAAACATAGAAAGAGAAGGAAGACTGGGAGGAAGACTTCGCCCAAGGTCAGTAGATGTCCCTGGTCAGCATTGGTCAGTGTTACCCTATGTGCCGCCGTCAACAGATTGGGACCTCTGTCAGCATTGTGTATTTGGACCATAAAACACTGCTCATCTTGTTTATCTTGCCTCTCTGCACAACATTTTCATTCCACCCCAAGCAAGAGATCTGCATTTCCAACAGCAGACAAACTACACAATACACAGTCTGAGACAATGTCAGCTTTCATCATGCAGAGGTTCTTGAAGCCTCATTCCAGAACCATACAATGCTCTCTAAATCCATTTCTTTATACTGCAGATATTTCCCCTCTTGGCAATGGAAGGCTTATGGCCACAATCCTCATCAGCAGGTCCCCCTACTTTAAGCCATGAGGGATGCTTATGGGGACACTTGTGTAAAGGATTCTCCAGGCTGGATGCATGTATACACACTGAGCACTTTATTAGGAACACTATACTAATACTGGGTAAGGCCTCCTTTTACTCTCAAAACAGCTTCAATTCTTTGTGGTTGGAAACATCTCTTTGAGGTTCTGGTCCAATTCCTGCAGATTTTTCTAGTGCACTTTCATGCATCCCATTCTACCACATCCCACATGTATTCTATTGGATTCAGATCCGGTGACTAGGATGTCCACTAAAAACACTGAACTCATTGTCATGTTCATAATTTTATGGCTATTTTATGGTAATTTGTCGCTATGACAGGATGCACATGGTCAGCAACAATACTCAAATAGGCTGTGACATTCAAGTGATGATTGATTGGTATTAATGGGCCCAAAGTGTGCCCAGAAAACATTCCCCACACCATTACGCCACCTCCACCAGCCTGGACTGTTGAAACAAGGAAGGCTAGGTCCATGGATTCATGCTGTTCGTGCCAAATTCAGACCCTACTATGTGCATAGATGTGTCATCTATGTGCCTCAGCAGAAATCAAGATTCATCAGACCAGGCTGTGTTTTTCCAGTCTTCAACTGTCCAATTTTGGTGAGTCTGTGTTGAATTTTGCTCACAGTATTTTTTGCTTGCAAGACCTGCAAAAACATGTCTGTAATTTTTGATAATGCATTTGGCCATTTGAGAGCAGAGATACTTCCCTGAAATGAATGTAAGCAACTTATATTATTATTATTATTATTATTATTATTATTATTATTATCAACTTATTGTTTCTCTATGAAAGTGTATATTTTAAAAGAACTATCTAGTTCTCCTAGCTTAAAGTGAAGTGTGACATTGTTCTGGTGAGACAGAGGAGATTATGTAAGGAGCCCCAGCACTCCCAGTGCCGTATCAGAGGTCGAGAGAGAGGGGAGAGAGAAGGAGAGGGAACAGAGAAGGAGTCTGTCGATGCCCAAAAACACTTGACAGTACTGACCTACAACTTATGTCCAAAAATATCCAGACACCCCTTCTAATTAGTGAATTAACCTACTTTAAGGTGCACCTCTTAAATAAAGCACTCTTATTGCTGACATGTATTCACTTGTATATACATAACTTGTATAATCTCTATAGAAAAGCATTGGAAATTAAATAGAATGCTCTGGATCAGTCACACATGAGTCTAAGGTCACCATGCTGAATACCAAGCATTGGTTTGAGGTGTATAAATCACCAGCATTGGGCTGTGGAGCAGCAGAATTGTGGAGTGATGGGGCACCATCCAGCACCTTTGGAATGAACTGGAGTGGCATTTGTGATCCAGAACTAACAATCCAACATCATTACCTGACCTCACTAATGCTCTTGTGGCTGAATGCAATCAAATCTTCACAGCAATGTTCCACCATCTAGTGTCAAGTTTTCTCAGAAGAGTAGAGGCAACCCCCCCTGCCCTCCCTGCTCGATTTCATGAAGAAACAGTTCAGACGAGCAGGTGTCTACTACCAACTTTTGGACATAAACTGTATAAACGAGAGAGACCTCGCTTGATTTGGAAATTGCACTACATACTTGTTTTAAAAATTGATTTATCACCATATATGTATGTGTGTATCTGTGTGTATGTGTGCATGAGGGAAATTTTGATAAATGCATGAGCAATTCCAAAATATTAGAACATGAAAATTTAGTAAAAGTTTGACAGTCCTACTGGGGGAGAGATCATCAGCTACCACTGCCGTGAGATATGCATCTGTAAATGTATCTATTTTCACCCATGCACTATGTATGTAATTTAATGGTTAATATTTTCTGTACTATTATATGTGCATGTTTTACTGGTTACAATGCTTTAATAATACAAATGTTAATTTGTCACATCTATGAAGCAAATATGTGTGAGAGAAAGATGTGAGTGTGTTGTGTGTGCCTGTGTGTGTGTGTGTGTGTGCCTGAGTGTGTGTTGTGTATGCACTTGCTTGCAGAGTTTTCTTACTGTCAAAGAAAGGCCTGAGGTACTTGTTGTATCCTTTCATCAGCTTCTGGATGGTGGGAGGCAGAATCTCTCCCTCCTTCACCTCAGCACTCAGCAGCGAGTTCTCAAAGATCCTGCCAGCAGAGAGAGAGAGAGAGAGAGAGAGAATGAGAGAAAAAGGGAGAGGGAAACTGAATCTGTTTCACTTTCTTCTATCTGGCAGTATTTACCCTGATCTGATAGATGGGGGTTCCAGCTCTTACTGCACTACGCCACATTGGTGAAGCAGTGCAGTCATGATGAGGGCTGTGCTGCAGCCTAAATCACTTACTCTCTCCAGTAACACAGAGCAGGAGATTAAAGCTCTCAAAAGAGAGAGAGAGAAAAATGCACAAAAAAATGTATTTTCATAATTGGATTACTTTGATCCAGGCAGTGCGAAGACCTGGGATTTTTCCATCAGCATGTTGACATCCACCTCCTTTCTTTCCCTTATAACTGTAGCTATATTTTTGAGCCAACTATAAACACACGACAGTAATGTTATTTCAGCAATGTGCAGTATTTCTGTCAGGTACTAGAATTTCATGTCTTGGCTGATTATTTAATATGTATGGTAGACAGGAGTTTGAGGTTATTCCCCCCTTTTACAGTGTTCTAGAACTTTATCCCACATTTACACTGTTCTAGAATGTTATTCTTGCATTCACACTGTTCTAGATTGTTATTCCCACATACACACTGTTCTACAATACTATTCCCACATTCACACTGTTGTAGAACGTTGTCCCACATTCACAGTTCTAGAATGTTATTATCTCATTCACATAGGTCTAAAATGTTATTCCATTCACACTGTCAGAATCTGGAATGTTATGGAATGTTATTCCTACATTTACACTGTTCTAGAATGTTATTCCCCCATTCACACAGGTTGTAGAATGTCATTCTGCCCTTCACAATGTTCTAGAATGTTATTCCCCCATTCATACTGTTCTAGAACATTGTCCCACATTCACACTGTTCTAGAATGTTATTCTCCCATTCACACTGTTCTGGAATATTGTTCCCACATTCACACTGTTCTGGAATATTGTTCCCTACACTCACACTGTTCTGGAATATTGTTCCTACATTCACACTGTTCTGGAATATTGTTCCCACACTCACACTGTTCTGGAATATTGTTCCCACACTCACACTGTTCTGGAATGTCCCAGATTTGGTTTTACCAGATCATTTTCAAAATATCTTAAAACAACTGCCGACATGAATGTTTGTGTTTGCTGTCACTTTCTCTAGTACCAAACAATTAAAGCCCTGGTTTTCTTTCAGGTCTTTTTATACATCATTGCATAGTTATTCTACTGTACACTGCCTGGTGATGGCCAGAAGATACACCATAGACATAAACAACAGTACAGAAACAGAAATACATTTAAATGAACCTTCTGATTCTATGATGCCTATAAAGTACCCTTCTGAGTTTATAAGTAAGACAGTCCCTGCTTTCCAGCCTGGTTTGTCTCCTGTGGTTATGGAGCTTGTTTTTAAACTGTCTCTACTCCGTCCTTAAATAGCCAAATATGGCTGCCTAACAACGGGGAGGCATAATCAAATTAAATCACTAATTAAGAGTGGTGCAACAGCAACTCTGCCCCTCTGGCCGTCACAATAGTTTCCCCTATGCGAGAGCTTCATTGTTAATTGGAGATTTTAGTCTTATATCTGACGTCCTCTGGTGCATCTCTGGGATTTTAAAACCATGAATGACATCAAAGCTTGCATTCACTCACTTAATACCCATTTCTTCTATAGTAGGTGATTAAATGACAATGTATTTGACCATAAAGAGATTTTAAAAAAAATGCTGTTATGCAAGGTTGCATCATCACACCATCCGCTGGCCTAATGCTGGGTAGGAATATAAAGTAGGACAGTGGCCAAACTGTAATTTCATAACACAAACGAAAGCTGTAGAAGGCTGCTTGCCACAAGCTTGTGTTAAAGCGAAAGTGTGAGTCTCTGGATGCTCCATTGCCTCTGGGTAGCTAATAGTGGTATTATTAACTAGTAAATAAGATTCTGTTATACATATTTATGCACATATATCTTGTCTGTGGTGAGAAAACATTACATGATATGATAATATATGACAGAAGAAAAACAATCCATAACACTCCAAACATAGAATAAGCTTTGCTTTTTCAAAATTTCAGTTGTTTCATTCAACATGAAATGTTCATGCAATGTTTTCATGGTGTAAAGAAAGTAAAACAACAAAAACAAGGATTTTCTTCTCACAGCAATGCAAAAGATTCTCTTTCATTTCCTGTTTATTTATGTCCAAATTGTTCTTTCTTGGTGTTTTACATTCTATTGTTTCTAGATTAATTCCTGGACAAGGCTCATGTTTTTATAAATGCTCAGAAATATTCTCATCTGCCTCCCACTCCTGGCTGAGTGTTTTGGGCTAAAGAAAACATGATCTGTGCTCTATACCCTCCACCTCCACAGCATAGAGGAGCCTCCTGAGGGGCATTTGGGGCTTTGACTCTGGAACGCTTAAATAGATCCAGCTACTTCTTATACATGAGAGAGAAACACTGTTCAGTTTTTACACACACGTGTGCACATATATGTGTCACTCCAGTGTAATGTCATTTTCATGCGGTATGCCAAGGTCCCTCTCTCCAGCCCTGCTTTTGACACAGTGTTGCTTCAAGAATGCTCAGTTATAAATCTGGGTCACCTACCATGACCCACAACCCATTCACATGTACACACACACCCACACACACCTTGAAAGCGTTCCTCCAGCCTGACAGTGTGTGACATCTAGGTTTGAACATTGCATCACTTTTCCTCACATACAAAAGATGACTGCTTCCCAGGAAAGCTCAGGTCGAATTGATTTTATGCAGGGAGGGAGGTTGAAAATGACAGAGTGAAAGAGAGAAAGCATATAAAAAAGGAGAAAAAAAGGTAAGAGGAAAAAAAGGTGTAAGTATAAATGTGTCAGTTTGTAATAGACACTCTGACACAGATTAACGATGATGAGATCATCTCATCTCCCCAATTTCCACAGATATAATGGACTACTACTGAGAAATACATTGTAACTTCTTCACTTTTTACTGTGGAGCTGCTCACAGATAGAGCAGAGAAAGAGATACACTATATAGCCAAGTCCATTGCTAACAAGGGTATATATGGTGTAGTAATAGTAGTAATTTCCATAGACAAATTATGACAGTAGAATGTGACTGGCACTGTCATAGGATGCCACCTTTGTCGGTTTGCAGAATTTCTGCCCTGCTACATCTGCCCCAGTCAACCGTAAGTGCTATTATTAGGAAATTAAAGTATCTAGGAGCAACAACAGATCAGCCATGAAGCAGTAGACCAAGCAAAGTCACAGAGAGAGGCCTCTGAATGTTGAAGCTCATAGTGCATAAAAATCTCCTATCCTCCATTGCATCACTCACTCTCAATTCCAAACTGCCTCTGGAAGCAATATCATCACAAGAACTCGGCATCGGTAGCTTCATGAAATGGGTTTCTATGGCTGAGCAGCCACACACAAGTCTTAGATCACCATGCGCAATGCCAAGCCACCACTGGACTCTTTATCAGTGGAAACATGTTCTCTGGAGTGATGAATCCTGCTTCACTATTTGGTCTGACTGTTGAATCTGGGTTTGGCAGATGTCATGTGGGTGCAACCTATAAGAATGCATTAGTCCCAACAGTAAAATTACGAGGAAGAGGGATAATTGTCTGTGGCTGTTTTTCAGGGTTTGGGTTTGGCCCTTTAGTTCCAGTGAAGGGATAATGTTAATGCTACAGCACACAAAGACATTTTAGACAATTATATGCTTCCAGCTTCGTGGGAACAGTTTAGGGAAGGTCCTTTCCTGTTCCAGCATGACTGATGATCTGTACACAAAGCAAGGACCATGAAGACATGATTTGACAACACTGGCATGGCAGAACCCTGACCTCAATCCCCACGTCTGGGATGAACTGGAACATCAATTGTGAGCCAGACCTTCTAGTCCAACATCAGTGCCTGACCTCAGATCTTGCTCTTTCATCTGAATGGCCATAAATTTCCAGAGACACACTCCAACATCTTATGGAAAGCCTTCTCACAAGAGTGGAGGCCATATTAATGCCCATGTTTGTGGAATGGGATATTCAACAAGCATATATGTGATGGTCAGGTGTCCGCATACTTTTGGCCATGTAGTGTACCTGGAGGTCAGACTGAAGTCACGTAATGATGTCAGAAAATTCTCAAAGCTCAGAAACTTGAGCTGACAAGACTGAACTGGCTGATGTGGGGGTGTTGATGGCTGTTGTGGGAACTGATTTGGAAGGGCAGGATGGATTTCCAGATGGTTTAATGTATTTGACCTCCACCCTGCGGTGAGGACGCCATCTCCCAGAGAAACACAGGCCTGACAAAGCAGCAACTCGGTCTTTCACGTTCTTGCTGGATTTGTACTCTCTCTCTTTGCTGATCCCTTTCTACTTCTCTCTCTTTTTCTCTGCTCCGTATGATGAAAGGGAAGCCAGAGGGCTTATGAGAGTCATGTGTCAGCAGTGACATAATGACAGCTTCTACACCGCACAGTCAACCCTTACGCATCCCACACTGTTGTGCGTGACCATCTGGGATGTGATCAAATATGCAATATTGATGACAAGATACTTGTATCTATAACATGCTGTCAAGGGTTTATCATAAATACACACATACACACACACACAATATGACTCAAATCCATAGTTCAGAATTACTGAAGTGGGGCTGCATCAGAATGAGTCATGTGTGAGATGGGGAATTCCTGTCTGATGCTGTCAGCTGTCACTCATTCTCACTGGAAGAATCATATTGGCAGCATTGTGATGTCCAATGGCTGACAAAGCAAACAGCTTTGCTAGGATTATGACTGCTTAACTGGCAAATAATTCACACTCTTAGCAAAAAAGGTTCTTAAAAGTTTCTTTTAAGAACTTCATTAATGGACAGTTCCAGCCCTAAAATCAGCTTAGCTGAGTTGCATTCAAAGCTGATGTAAAATATATGCACAACTGCCTCACAACAACTGATTTCTGTAATAATGGG